TTTGTTGCTTGTTTCAACAGTAAACTCAGTACTGAATATATTACATAATTTCGCTCCATATCCATTTCGTCCACCAGTGACTTTTTTCTCGGTATCGTCATAATTAGAGGATGTAAGCAAGTGTCCAAATATTAGTTCCGGCACATAGACATTTTCCTTCTTGTGTATTTCTACCGGAATCCCTTGTCCGTTATTATAAATAGAGATAGAATTATTGTCTCTGTCTATTGTTACTTTGATAGTATTCATCGACGGATCGCGAATCTTTGTCGATTTGAAAACGCGTTTAGGGTTAGTTAGCAAACTATACACGAAAGTGTAAACAGCAATTCGACTCTCGAATTGTGTTTGAATAACTCTGAGATACCTTATTGTCAGCGGCATTCACAAGAATTTCATCAAATATTTTGTATAAGCCAGGGACGAAGGTTATTGGGCGGCAAACCATTGCTTCTTTGCTTTTGTCGAAGACCCATAGGGTTTCAGTTACAGCTTCGACTGAGCCAATATAAGTGTCTGGACGTTTCAAGATGTGCTCGATCTGAGTTACCTTCTGGTAAGTTTCTGTGCAAATGAAGATGTAGAATTGAAGCTTATTGCTTTACAAAAATGTTATGTTTCGCGAAGCATGCTTAAAAATACAGCACTTCAAACGGGGATCGATCGCGGCTATGTTACATAGACATTGACAGAAAACTGAGACTAGTAGTTGTTTATCCAACACTGAAATCCTATAAGGCAGTAGATGCTCAAGCAACGTCTTGGAGTTTGCTATTTACCCTCAATAGTCTTTTCTCCTCTTGGATCCAACGATGTAGTTGCCATGTTTGACGTTATTATTCGTATAGCGTATCTATAAGATAATTTTTTCGCGCAATTAATGGTATACTTGTAAGAAGATAGTAATGTAGAGAAACTTCTTATGGGCGACGTTCTCATTAGGTCGTTGCACGGGCAAGTAGATAAATGTTTACTGATTAGGCTTCTATTTATGGGATGCTTGTCGAACATCAAGGGTGACAGTCAACGCGTATTAATACTACAAAAGGCAAATTGTGCGTCGGAAGGGAAATTATCAAGGTCA